GAATTGAAAGCTAAGGACTGGTATTGGGATTAAAAAAACCCATTTTTTATTTTTGGTATGAATCATTAAGCAATCTAAACCCAATCCTAATCCCACCTTACATGGGATTATTCCGTACCACCCACCCCCTGGGTTTGCAAAATCATCCTGGGAATGAAAATATCTGGACAAATTGCCCTCACCCATCTCTCTCTCTCTCTCTCTCTCTCTTGCGTCTCTTCTCTTCGTGCAATAAAATCGCAAGCTTCGATCTGTACGTTCCGATCTGTAAACTCCGTTCAGCTGCCATGAAATCCTCTTTTCAAGCTTCGATCTGTACGCTGCCTTACGCTCCGATCTATACGCTGCCAAGAAATTGCGGGGAGGGAAGAGACGTAGGTGAAGGAGGACAAATAAAATTCAGAGACGCAGCACATCGATGAAGAAGGAGATGGAGGAAGAGGAAGATCAGAATCAGAGACGTTGTCGACTTCTTCCAGATCCGCCGCATTGAACCTGAAACTAAAGCTGCGCTGCCATGTGATTGCCGCATTCGACTTCTTCCAGACCTCACAAGCTAGGTTATTTTTTTTTGAATGTAAGGGTATTTTAGTCTATTCATAATTTATGTTTAATTGTAAAATAAAATAAAAAAGTAAGTATTCCCTACATATATTACTTCATACCAAATATATGTTTAAAGTCTCATTCCACTCTCACTCCTACTACCAATACCAACACCAGTCTCAATCCAATCCCTTTAAATTGAAACCTATATACCAAACAGGGCCTAATGTTTTTATTTATACCATCTCTAGCCCACAGATGAATTCTGTGGCCCATCTGTAATTTTCCTCAATCAGCCCATACTTTAGAATAGCGCCCGTTCAATCTTCACAATTCAATGGCTTGACAGGGCTTAGAATTGTATGTTAAAATTTTTGAGAGACTTGCTCAGCGAGGTTTTTGATACTAATCGTTGGGATGAAATTTAAATAGTCTAAAATTGCTTTAAATAATTTAGATCAAAATTAAAATTTTAAGTCAATAATTATTTTTAAATGACAGTTAAATTTTTTATTTTAAATTCTATGCTCATTAAAATAAAATTTTTAAAAAAATAAAATTAAATAAAATTAAATTTGGATATTTTCACTAGGGATGAAAATAGGTCATGCCTTATCAGGAATTTATAGCTTGGCCTACTTCAAATTGAGCCTAGCTTATTTACTAATTTAGGCATTTGATAACTAAATATGTCAAACTTATTTTTAATCAATCAACCTAACTATATATATATTGTAATATATTACATATACATTAGCTTTACCATTTAATTTTTAAACAATCTATTTTTTTATTTCTAATTATATTTTCAACAGATTGAACTTATATATTGATTTTAATATTTATTATAAATTAAGATGAATACCAAAAATTTATTTTAGTTCCATTTAGTAATATAGTACGCTAATTATATAAATAATATGATAGAAGTAATTTATAAATATACGACCAAAGTGTACATAGGATCAAAATTTAATGTTGCAAATTTTAAAATTTAATTTGATAATTGAATAACATAATAATTTGAAAAGTGAACCTTATTATTTCATGAATGGGTTTCTTTGGAAAACTATCCAATTTGGATGTTTGAAACAAATATTTGATCATGGTCGAGAAGTCAGTTTGTTTGCCAATTGGCTTACTTGTGAGGTTTTGTTTTAGGATTCTTAACACCCCTCCCGGTGGGTATAGAGATTTTTGATTCTTGATATGTCCTAGTGTTTTGGTTTTTTTGTTTTTGGGGTTTTTTACATGGTTTCTTCCCGTCACCTTGTTATCCAAGAAAACAAAAAGGAAACAAGTATTGGATTCAACTTTCTGGCTGATGATGTTCTTGCAGGTGGTTCGCCTCTTCATCCGAAGCCCACTCCAACGATACAATATCCATTGGAAGGATGGATTTTGAATATGAGAGACCATTATACCAAGAACGAAAAAGTGGATATTCATCATCAGACGTAGGATTGTCACAAATCACATCTACATATAAACAATTAGCACAAGCAACTAACGGATTCTCAGAATCAAACCTTCTAGGTCAAGGTGGTCTTGGCTATGTCCACAAAGGAGTCCTCCCAGATGGAAGAATTGTTGCAATAAAGCAGCTAAAATCTGGAAGCAAGCAACGAGAGCGTGGGTTCAAAGCTGAAGTTGAGATCATTAACCGAGTTCATCACAGACATCTTGTTTCCCTTGTTGGACACTGCTTTTCTGCAGCCAAGAGGACGATGATGCTTGTTTATGAGTTTGTCCCCAACAATACTCTAGAATTTCACTTGCATGGTAACACTTCCAATTTATTAGCCAGTGTTTGTGAAATTGTCCTAGTGTAAATAGACCTAAGTCAATGTAAAAAGTCTTATATTAAATAAAATCAGGCTTAATAATTAGAATATAATAAAATAAGACAGTCTATAAACTTTAATATTGAGGTTTTGGGTATGGTGTAGTCTTTTTACTACTCTTCACCCATTTATTCTCTCTGTTTCTGGGCAATTGCTCGTTAGGCCTAATATCTATTATAAAACGAATTAAAGAGTTGAATCTGCTAATGATAAGGATGTAGAAAGATCATAATTTTAATTTGTTGGCAATGCAATATTATC